TAAATAAGTTTCAATGGAATACGAGTACGTATAGACCCGCAACTCTAAACACCTTGTAAATTTTGAATTTTTTTGTCTTTTATGATTTTTTCAATATTACGTGGAAAACATCGATTAATAATCGGTTATTTAAAATTAATTACGATTAATTGCAATTAATAATGGATCGGCGTACTAACTGTGCAGCGTAAAACCATTTCTCACCACTCAACTTTTGTGAATATTTATGGAGTAATTAAATACATTTTTTGTTTGAAAAGCATTTAAAATTATTTTAGTTTTTATTTAGTTTTATTTATGTATCAAAAGCAAATTAAGTTGCATAAACTTCATTTTCAGTGCCCATTCATAACATTAGCAAATTTAAAATAGCGCTATCCAAATAAAAAATATTTAGTATCTCTGCTTTTGTCGATTTATATTTTAGTATAAAAGTGCTTAAAAGATTTAACATAGGCTCACCTGTTCATATTTGAAAAACATGCGTCTGCTTATTTAAACTTAACTCAATTGCTACTCAAAAGAATATTATTTTCTTTTTAACATTTTTTTAATGCTTTTCGGGTAAAAACTTTTGTGTGAATAATAAGGAAAACTAACAAAAAAAATATACATAACTCCAAGTATCCCCAGGCATTGAAATGACAAGAATACCAAACATTTTCCTACCATTAATAAACAATTAAATATGTATGTATGGAAAAAGACTTAATGAGTTTTATTTTTAAGATAATGGCACCGGTTTTTTAGGCCCGAATGTGTCAAACATTTTTTTTTATTCGTTTAACGCGCAGTGGAAATGCGGCATGTAAATATGCCGATTCGTTTCGAAGAAAATATTTATCACGGTGTGGCTAATATTGGTGCATATATTTCGGGCCTAAATCACATGTAAACCACTTCTAGTTACAAAAGGGTGCTGTCTATTTTACAACCGAAAAATACGAAAAGATACTTATGTTTGTGGTATGTAAATCTCTGTATTTATTGCAGCGATTTGCCTCACAAAGCCAAACATTTTCTCGAAGAAGCTTTCGTGTTAGCGAGGTTTCATCTTATATGTACAGTTGTGTTCATAAAAAAATGGCGCAAGAGCTCAACGTCATAAAAATTATTTGTTGTTGTTCTCTGTTTTTCAAAATTTCATAGATCAGGATAGAAGAAACATAAAAGTTAAAATAATTAGGTATGTAAGAAGAAAAATTAAAAAAAAAACAATAAAAATGATTCAATTATATGTAAAGCGCTTTCAAATATTTTTGTAAAGTGAAATTACTAAAAGCATCATATTTTTTTATAGATAATTTTTTGAATTACGCTCTTCCTGAATTGAAAATTATGTAGTAAGAAATTTGGCTAATCAAATTTTTGCAATAGAACTCTAAATATTAATTCGGCACACTACTTTTATGAAACCAGAGTTATTCGCTGCTGGAAAAAATGCTTGACTCCTAACAGTCTGTGCATTCTACAGCGACAGACCACTTGTGGCGCTTAGCGTGTTTTTACCATCGGTGACATCAAAAGTGATACAAAAAATGGACTAAATTCATCAGTTAATGCTCGAAACATAATATATATATAGTAATCTGCGCCAATTGAATTAGTCTGTTCTTCGCCCAAAAGATATAGAAAACTGCCCAAATAAATACACTTTCAAAAAAGGTAAATGGGATGGGCTGAGCATTATGGTATGGTTTTTTTGGTATTGGTTCTTTACATGCTATGAATTTTATAATGGACGAAGATATTTATTTTATACAAGGTCAGCATTAACATCATCGATGACAGTTAAGTCTAAGGAGGATTTTTACATGGGAATCTCATTTTTGTAAAAATGTAGATATCTATGAATCTAGATCGTACTACATATAAGCCCTCGATATATCTCTATTTTATGGTGTTTCTACTTCGTAAAAAAAATGCATTTTTATTACTCGTATTTTGAATAAAACACAAACGCGAGAATAACAAAAAAGCATAGTACAATAATTACAGGTATTGTCTTCCAAGAGAGCGCATATTCAGATCTGCCTCATTTGAAAAACATCATTGTTGCCCACAGAAAAAGGGATATTTCCATACCCCATATACCATACCATACACGTATTTTTTTAAACAAACCTTCTCGCAGAGAATATATTTAATTTGTAAAAGCCGAAAAATAAACACTTGCTTAGTAAATAAATTCAAAATTTTTATAGTTCTCTTTATTTCAAACGTTTTTTCTTGTCTTTTGAAAAATTATAAAAATAAAAGTGAGCGAAAACCAAAAGCAAAGCCAACTAAAAGTAAAAGAATTAACATTGAACTGCGTCAAAATGAAAATAAGGGAGCACAAATTTTGATGTGAGGCAAAACTCTTTGGGAAGACAATACCTGTAATAATTGTACCATGACAAAAAAGTATCTTACATATGAACCTTAAAAAAACTTCGTAAATGTTTAAAAACTATTTTTTTTCTCCGAAAATGTATGCCAAGAAGACTTCAGTTTCTAGATTTATAAATAGACTGATGCTCACATGGCTCTATTATTACTTTTTGAACACAGCTGTACACATTCATGTAGATGTTCTATTGTTTTCATTTTTGCATTAAATTAAATACAGTTATTGCTATAAATTCTCAGCTTTGTTGAGTAACTTATTTTTATTCATTTTTAAGTAATTACACTGTTCGGCAGTCGGTTGTGAAATTGATGAAACCAAGTTTTGATTAAAGTCTGGATTATATATAGCAAAGTAATTTCTCAGTTTCGCAGGTTGGCGATTTTAAGCGCAGAGCAGCATTCAAACCAATTAAAACTTAATTAAATGCAAATATTTATACCATCAAAAGGCGTTCTGGTGGTTTTCGAGTACGAAAAATCGGAATCTGCAATTTATTTTTACGAAAAACTGCCGCAGGGGTGCGCTTTGGTGCAGAAAACCATTAAAAAACATTGTTGAGAAAAATTGCTGAGAAACATTGGGCCTCATGCATAGAAAGTGAGCTTAAGCTCAGACTCAACTTTTGCATTGATAGAATGAGCTTAAGCTCAAGAATTTGTACTGAAAATCGAGTCGGAGCTTTTCCTATACGTTTCTTCGAAGTTATTTTTTCATCAAAGCACACCCTAAAGGCTATTTTTGGTAAAAATAAAGTGAAAGTTCAGAATCCTCGGACCTATTTGGGAGATAGGCCTTTTGAGTGTGTAAATATGTAATTGCATTTCAATTGATTTGAATACTGCTCTGCCACCAGCAACTTCAAACTGAAAAAAAAAACGCTTTAAAACGTCATCCCGGGAGAAATTAATTCTCCTGACTTTCAGGAAAACTTGGTTTCATCAACTCTCCAGAAAAAAGAAACTGATTAAAGTATTATAAGCCACTAATGACAGCCGAAAAGTACAATGGGCGGTTTTTGGTGCAAATTATTTGAAACTGAATATCACTAGCTTAGAGTGAAAAGTTATTAAATCCATTTTTATTTTTTTTTTATAAGTTACTAATAGTCCTAAATCACTTTCTTTAAGCACTTATTTTGCAAAGAGTTGTCAAAGGTGAAAAATTCTAAACGGATAGTCTATCAAAATTTAATTAATTACATAAATCACAATCGATCGGGTGAAATCACGACAAACGATTTTTTCTTCTTGAGACTTTTCAAATTACATAGCTCTGACTTTCGTAACATTGAATAGAATTTGCTAGAAATAAAACAGGTAGCTTTTTCATTTTGCAAACAATGCATTTTTAATGATTTTCGCTTCCTACCCAATAATTTAATTTTCCTAAAAAAGCGAACTTAACAACTTTTGCACTGTAAGCTAGCGAAATGAAATGTTTGTTAAAACTTTATATTAAAGCGTTCTTCTGGGTCATGTGTTATCTAATTGCATATTTTTTGAAATAGAATATATAACCATCTCCATGCAAAGTTGACGTTTCAATGTCAACTTTGAGGAAATATTATACTTTGGAAAACAAACAAATGCGGAGATATAAATTTTGTATAAAAAACAAAACTCCATTCAATTAAGAACAACCTTAATATGAATGTACATACATACCATACATACCTTAAGCATATGACTCTTTCTACAAAACTATGAACCGATTGCGATAGGATAAGAAATTGTGCGAAAGCAACAAAAATCTAATGTTTTTAGATACAATTTGTTTAAATGAAAAAACTTGGCCCAGGGAACGCTTTTGCAAAATCATAATGGCCGCCCCGATATTACTTTTAATTGTGAGACAGGGTTTTCACTTTTTTTTGTTTTAATTTTTTGCTTCTATTTATGGTACCGAGTTATGTCTGAGCGCAGATTAACGATTTATTAAAGAAAAAGAAACGCATTTCAGATAAAATTTCAATAAGGCATGCGTGGATGTTTGCTTGACGTTCCGGGTGTGTTGCCTGGGGTATGTTTTTCAATTAAAATAAAAAAAATTAATTTGTTGTAAAAAAATAAGAGTCATATGCTTGATGTATACATATCTACATATATATATATAAATAAAATTAACTTATTGCCGATAAATTAATGAAATTAATAAAATAATGCTTGCAACTAAAGAACTAAATATGAAATAAATTTTTATGTTAGAAATTTTGCTGAAGATTCATTTTTGGTTTTTGATCATTTCCATTCGAATTTGGTCTCTAGCATTGATCGACAAGCGATCAAGCAAATTTTCCCTTGACAACCTTCTGGTCATAAAATTAACGTAGAATATTTTTTTTCGTTTTCTTTGTTTTTTTTTATATATAAAATTACATCAATTGCACTTGCACTGCATCTTACAGCGTATATATGTATGTAGCATAGTGTTGGGCGTATAACATGTCCACACTAAATAATAATTAAAGAAACAATGTACTTAAAAGCTACGAATAAAAATATTTCAATAAATGTTAAATTTTGTATGATTGATAAAAAAAAATTAAATACATATATAAAGTGCTTACAAATTAATATTTTTGTATAAAAAAAAAAAAATCATTGTTTTAATTAAAAATTTTTTGTTTTTTAGCTTTAACTTTTGCGCTCGCGCTTCTTTCCTTTACACATATGTATGTATGTACATAGATGCATTAGTTTTCATATAAATGGCACGGAATTTGTATTAAACCGAGAGCCTGCCAGGGTTCTATTTACGTATAAAAAAGAAAAATAAGAAATAAAGCACGCGCATACCAAGCAACAGAAGTTGACGTTCATACGTATATATGTGTATATATGTATGTACTTGCTCTTTGTTACAGAGAATCGTAACGACTTTCAATATCTATATCAAATATTGGAATATAAATAGCATTAGCATAGGTGGCATTTTGCTTTTTGAAGTTTTTTTTTTTGCAAATTGTAAATTGGAAAACAATTTCTCTTACAACTGCATCACTTTTGATTGCTGCTACATGATGAAAAATTCAGCGGCATACATATGTACCTACATACATATGTAAGTATGTGCTATGTATTTAAGCGTACCATAATGAAGCTCGAATATTTATCAGCTCAAACAATGAATTTTAGCAATGAGAAAGTTATAGAAAATAGAGGCTTGCGATGCTATCCGAAAGCAGTTGCTCTTATGTAGAAAACGAAAAGCGATTACGTTAATGTAAAATTAAGAAGAAAAAAATGAAGCTATATACATATTATGTATGTATGTATGTACATCTAAGTTACATATTTACAGTAATAACGCGTTCAGCCTGCTTCCAAAAGTTGTGTTTAACTGCAACAACAAACCTTAGATTTTCACATGTATCCCAGCTGCATTGACATTTGGCTTGGAGCACCTCATAAACTGATGGACGTCTTCTTGTTGCACAGGCAACACTTCAAACGCCCACGACGCCACTGTTGCTGTCGCGTTTTAACAATTCGCTGATCGATAGTCCAAAGCGCGTGCGCATTCCTTGTGTGGCACCTTCTGCAGAGGAACTTGCAAATTTGATAAGCGCGCGCCCGCCGTTTCCAGGTTTTGTACGCGCGTCCGCATTTGCTCGCTAATCACATTTCACATACCGCACGGCGCGTGTTTTTAGCATACGGACGCAACAATGCTGCACTATTTCTCACCTTCGCGTCGCCGCCATTAGCTCACCGCCAGTACACAGTGCCATCGCGTCCAGTCAGGCAACAAAGCCTCGCTTTGTTATTGGTAACCCATTTAGCGCTTGCAGCACTAGAGCAGGTTTTGCAGCGCCGCCGCTCCGTTTAGCGCCAGTCCGTGATTCCAGTTGCGATAGCTGGCTGCAGCCGCATATTGCTGGTAATTATTGTACAGTTGTTGATGTTGTTGCTGTGCTACTTGCTGCAGCTGCAATTGTTGTTCCTCATTCAAATCAGTTGTGATATTGGAGGCATCATCCTGCAGCTCGGGTGGCGTCAATTGGCTCTGCAACAGTTGTTGCTGATGCGTGCTAAGCTTTTGTGCGCTCGCGCTCGCGCTTGCGCTGGTAGCAGCGCTGTGCTGCTGTTGTTGTTGTTGGTAGTGTTGTTGCATAGACTTAATATAGGCCTTGCGTTGCTGTTGCTGTATCAGCTGATGTGCCGCATGTGGATGCGCCAACTGCTGATGATGATGATGATGAACACCGGTGTGATGATGATGATGATGATGGGGATGTTGGTCCAGGTGTGTATCGTGTGTATTCCCATTGCTGTTGCCGGCGCCGCTGGCACTGCCGCTACTGCTACCGATATTGCCGCCAATGTTGCTGTTGTGCAGCGTATTGAGACCGGCAGCTGCCGCTGCGGCTGCGGCGGCACTACCAAAGATGCTACTGCTACCACTGGCGGCGTTCACGTTCACGTTGCGCAGCATCTGGTCAGCTCGCCCTTAAGCCAATGGGTACTGGTGATGTCACAAGCTAGTCGTGCCGGTTGGCGCATGATAGCCGAGACTCTGGTAGTACGAGTCCTGTCCTAAGGCCGCGTGTGAATTCGTCAATGGGCTGAGCGCATTGTAGCCGGGATATTGGCTCATGTCGTACATCTTGATGTCCGCCTTGGACTCCGGCAGGAGGCGGTTGATGGAGAAGGGATGGCTGGATGGCGTATAGCCGGATGGTTCTTGCTTCAGATGATGCATGGAGGGGTGGTAGTCGCTGATCAAGGATGGATGGCATCTATTCACCATGACCGAAAGCTCTTCGTGCTGCAGCTGATGATGTTGCTGATGGTGGTGGCTGGGTGCATGTTGTGCCGCCTGTTGGCCCAAGCAAAGCTCGGCATTGGCTTGCATCATGGCCAACTGGTCTCGACTAACGGCGCTGCCGAGTACACTGCCCGCGCCGCCCACCGCTGCACCCGTTATATCTTTGCTATGGTGATGCTGCTGGTGGTTTTCCAGCCGGCTGTGATGGTGGTGTAAATGGTGCGAATCTTCGTGGTCTTTCTTGCCAGGACTCGTCGCTTCCAGACTACTGTGCGACGGACTCTTGTGCAGCTGACGTAGGGCCTCCTTCTTCTCGTCCTTAAAGCGCTTTTGGCGCCGCAAATAACAACCATTCTCGAACATGTTGCCGGAATCAGGGTGCAGCGTCCAGAAGGAACCCTTGCCGGGCTTGTCTGGTGTGCGTGGTATCTTCACGAAACAGTCGTTGAAGGACAACGAATGACGTATAGAGTTTTGCCAACGTTGCTGGTTCTGGCGGTAGAATGGAAACAGATCCATAATGAACTGATAGATTTCCGACAGTGTGAGCATGCGTGACGGATTATTCTGTATCGCCATTGTGATCAGCGATATGTACGAGTAGGGCGGCTTAGCGTGTGTATAACTCCGGCGGTAGGTGGTCGGTTTGTCAATACGAGCACGATTTAATGAATTCGGCGAGCCCGTGTCCAGTTCACGTGCGCTGGCTGCTGCCGCCATGGAGGAGTAGCCACCCATAGCCGTCATTGCTGACATGCCGCCGCCCATGCAATTTCCCATATTGCCCAGCGGTGAGCCCATCGATGCATAACTCATCGAGCTGGGCGTCATGCAGTTGCCAGCCATGGAGTTCATAGCGTGGGCGCCGCTCATGCTAGCCACCGCCGCAGCGGATTCGAGTGCACCAAACGCGGCGGTCTGTGGTGAAACGGAGGACATGCCACCAACGGGCATGGCCATGGAATTCATAGCTGTGTATGCGCTGCGGGCGAGCGGGCTCATTGTGCCGCCGTTGCTGGTTGGAATGTTTGAGTGAGGAATCGAAGGATTACCGCCGCCACCGCCACTTCCACCACCGCCGCCGCCACCAGCATTTGTGCCACCACCTCCGCCGCTGCTAGAACCACCACCACTACCAGCGCCGACACTGCTGCTCATGCTGACCGGAGGCCCGTTGCTCGGCGCCTCCGCGTATAGTTTTTGCATGATGTCGATCGTCGTCTGGTGGGGCGATCCCTTCAGGAAACTGTTCAATAATTGCGCCGTTATGTTGGCGGCTGTTCACTGGTCGCGCGGATGAAATAAGACGATTTCAAATCACCGACGGACTTAGACGACGCGAGCACTTTGGACGCGGCGAACCAAGGTCGGCACTTTTTTGACGAAGCGTTCGAGGGAACCTACACTTGGTTGTGGGATTTGTTTAAAAAAAAAACAGTTTTATCCGTTGGATGTTTACTTTTCAATGTTTATGTTCTGCATAGTTGGGAACGCAATTCACATTTTGGTCCGCGCGCGCGCTTGCTGTGCGTACATGAATGCCAAAAGTTAAGACTCCTTGGAAAACGAACTGTTATCAGCGCGCATGCACCTTGTTGCTAGTTGTTTTTGTGTTTTTTTTTTTGTAATTCTTTTTCAGCAGCACAAAAGTTTTGTCACTTTGTAGTTTAATGCAAGATTTTAAAATCAATCGGGCGCATTCCTTTCACACACTCGTCTTCCTCGACTTCACTTGCATGCACTTTAGATTTTTTGTTGACTTTCGTCGCTGCGCGTTTCCTTTTGTTTTTTTTTTTTGTTGCTTCACCTCGCTCCTATTACTAGTATTTCTATAATGAATCTATTTGTTTTTGCAATTATGCGGTGCGTCAACCCGTTAGTAAAATAAAATTCTTTCAATTGTCTTGCGTTGTACGCGGTCACCAATACGGCTTGTTATGGACACTAATGCTGTTGCTAAGATAGCGATGGTCGGTTGGCCGAAATGTTTTCGGTTTGTGCGGATAGACGTATCGACCGTCAATCGCATCAGCCGTACACTACAATTGAACAATGCATCTAGCAAATAACGACTCCTATAAAATCGGTACGGAAAATAGCCAAAGTAAACGGTTATAACTTGGCTCAGGCGTTTTACTCTGCGGTTCGGTTATCGGTTGTCCGTTTCTACTTTTTCGGCAGCTGTGCGCGCTCGAGTACTCTTTGGCTTGAGCTCTTGAATATGACTGTTTGCAGAGGGGAATGCCTGCTTACTATTTGGCTTACTAACAAAAATATAAAGCGACGACGCACAGCGTCAGCAGCAGAGGCCATAGCACAAAGCGATGGACAGCAACACCGGAGCCACACCACATCGACTACCTCACTAATACAGCCATCCGGCGCGCTACCACCATTGCGGCAGAGAGCACACCTATCGGCCATGCAGCACCATAAGCCATGCAGTCGCCTCATGTGCGTATGTATGCGGCGCTGGCTTGCAAGTGTATGCGCGTCGTGTGCTACCATCAGTAATGCTACGCGCCTCACCCGTTCCAACAAGCGCTCACAATTGCATGTTCGTTTAAAGTTACGTGCGCGCGCGCGTGTAAGTGAGTCAACCATAGTTCGCCCCTTCAAGTGGTTCTCTTGCGTACACACAACGCTGTGCAGACGCAAACACACAGATAAGCGCGCGCGCGCTTACCAATACTAATGCAAATCGCAATTTGTATATGGCGCTGTGTGTGCAGCTCTAAATGTTCGCCATCCACTTTGCCTGCATACAGCGCACGCGTATTGGCTATGAGTTGTTGTTGCCTGCAATATAGACGTTTGTTTTGCGCTTGCATTGTTGTTGTAGCGTGGCAGCTTAAAATGCAGTTTGTATCTGTGGCTTATCGGTTGCCAAGACGACGTGGGTGGAGCTATTTCGATTGGCACGCCCACAGCACAGGCGCGCTATACAAGTTGCCACCCATACTAATGCAAGTTTGCATCACACACACGCACACACACTTTCTGCTCTTCAATTTCCAATTACGCACTCTCTGACAGTTTGACGTTTTCCATTGTAATGTATTGTAGGTAGGCGGTGGCGGCGGCGGCGGCGGCGTTTGAAGGAGTGGAAGCCGTTTCGACCCCATCAACATTAGCGCACACGAGCACTCCTTCAACGCGTACACTTACCTGGTCTAGGCGCTTAGCTGCCGCTGTTGTAGAAATATTTCGATTTATCGAATTTGCCGGCTTCTTCATTTTATTGGACTTTTTTTAAGGTGCCGCCGCCGCCACTACCGCAGTCAGCGCTTTGCAGCAATCAATAATTTTGCTCTCCCAAGTCGCCTGTCGCGCCTTTCCATTGCGCCACCCTGAATTTCAGCCGCTTTGCGCCTTTCGATATTCGAAGGCTTGCTTTGATTTCGATCGCCGCCGCTTTCGCCACATTTGCGCTACAAAAACGAGCGTTCTTTGACTGGCATTTTTACTATGGGCGCCTTGACAAGAACGACAAAGCCAGCGCTGCGCCGCTATTTGTTTAGTGCAGAGAGAACCGCATCGCAACTAAAAACTTGGACGCACAAAGCGTCATCGAAGAGGTGGAGAGGCGACGCGCTCCACCGCCTGCCTGGCTAATAATTTTGACAGGCAACTTACAGCAGCTTTCAGACAATTTGGTACGCTGTCACAATGCCGCAACGAGCAGCAACAGCGCTCATCACAGCTGCAGCGTCAGCAACAGCAGCGCCGCAGTAATAACAACAAACAATAACGACGACGCATTTGATTTGAATTGAAATTTGTATGAGACATTTTTGTTGCTGCCATCGAATTCACCGCACCACTTTTCATTGCTGTTGTTTTCACTGACGCTGCTTGTTTTATGTTTTGCTTTTTTTGTTCATTGAATTTTTAATGCAATCGCCTTGTGTTCAAATTTTCGAACTGGAATGTGCCACTTTTTGAGGTTAAGGTGGCTGGCTATACCAATGTCACATTCGATGTCATAAGAACAAACCTCCAGACGCGTACAACGCAGCAAGACACACGCGGCGCGGTTCATCGCATCTAATTTTTTTTTTTTTTTTTGTTTGGTGCATAAAAAGTTGTAAATACATTTGGAGTGCATTCGCCTGTTGTCAACAACGTTTGGTTGTTTGGTCGTTTGCCATTGCAGTGACTTCTTAGCTAATTGTCAACGATTAATGATTGCTGTTGTAGCTGTTGCTGGCTGAATATTACACACACATGTTATTGTTGTTTTCGTACTTGTTGGTGTTTGGTGTTATGTGTTGTTCTGTGTGCTGTACTGATGCTTATCTGGCGCTTGGTCGGAAAATTTCAAGTCAAGTTGTTGAGTGCCAAAGATATTCCATACATACATACATAAATTGTGAAGTTTCATTACGAAAGAAAAGTGGGGAAATATTGTGAAAGCAGTTTAAATCTCATTTAATTTATAACCTACATATATTCCTGATTCGATTTATTGAAACTGAAAGTGCAAGGACGATGTTATTTGCTTTCAAATCGATGACCTCCAAATGAGACATGTGCTATCCAGTGTTGCCATTTTCAAGCTTTCGCCAGTAGAACTAACGATTTTATTTAACATTTTTGCAGAATTCTTAGCAATTATTTAGAAGCTTTTACCTAGTTTATAGCAATTTATGTTTTATTTTTTTCAAAAGTTACGGGAACAAGAAAATAACGAGAACTTTTTATGTTAAAGTAGCAAATACACAAATATTTGGCGCTCATATTTTGGATAGGTGTCTGGTCGAGCTTCCCTCGAATTTGTAGTGTGCTTATTGATGTTACAGCACAAATGTGGAGGCCTGCCATACTAGATTAGATCAGTTTAAGTTTAGAGGAGAAAGCTGGTCACCTAGTTACCAAGACCGAAACACTGTATTACAAAAAAAAACTCTATTCGAATAGAGGTATTGAAAATATTGTTTTCAACTTTTTACATAACTTTCCCCTGAAATATATATACATTCATACATATATATTTAGATTCAATTAAAAAAAAAAAACATACTCAAAGCAATGAATTCCAAGAGGAGATATTTTATTTTGGCCATAGGGTTTCGTTTCAGCCCACCGTGCGCCGCACATACTGCCTCACAAATAGTTTAATGTCGTGCACCTTGGCCTGAAATACAGAGTTACCTTGCCCCACTCCTGCTCCGGCGCCATGGTCAGTCTTGAAGCCGTCACTATACCAGGGGCTGGATTCTGTAACTGTGAGTATTCAAGTGCGCTAAAAAATTGCTTCATTTTGAAAATGAGTTTTAACTGTCAAAATTGTGTACAATTCTCTTTCGCAAAACTCACTGAATTATACTTTCTCACGGTAACAGAATCCAGCCCCAGATGTGCTGTCCTTCCGGAGTTTAGGCTGTTCGTTTTCACAAAAAATTAAATGTTACTCGAACCAGGGATCAAACCTTGGGTTCAGCAGCAGTTGAGCGCAACCGTTGCTAAACAAAAATCAGTGATCGTTATGCGTCTTCTAAACGGCTTGATACATTAGCTGTCAAATTAAACTCTCAAAGGTATACACCAACATGTTGTCTCAAATGATCAGAAAAATATTACGATCATCTAACACGCAACTGTTCAGTTGATCAGAAGTACACAACAACGCGTCTTCTGAACGTGCCCAATATGAAAATGTATGATCATTGAAAAGGAAAAAAGCACACTCCTATGAATTGATAGAAAAAAAGACTTTTTTATGGTGACTAAAATTTCAAAAACAAAGCAAACGAATGGAACAACGAATTTTGTATGTTCCACACTCGTTGGTTTGCTAGAGTCGATTGTTGAAACCTCTCGTATTTAGCTCATATTGCTGATTTTAAGAGAGGGGGAAGAGAGTACTCGGAATTATTAAGCTAGTATTTCATGGTACTATTATATATCGCTAGCTTAGAGTGCAAAGTTGCTAAGCCACTTCATTATTTTGGTTTTGTCGGATTTTCCTTTCAATGAATATAAACGAGAAAAAATAAAACAAGTACCTTAATCCTTTTCGATGCGTTTTTAATATCGCTTACTTCTTATATCAAAATATGAGTTTTTATAAAAAGTTGACTTAGCAAATTTTCACTTTAACCTAGCGATATATACATACAGGGAAAACTTGGAAGTGAGGCGGCTCGTTCCCTCTGCCCCCTTCTCCTACCTGGCTACGCCCATATCCCTTAAGGTTATTGAAATATTGAACCTGACCGTAGAAACAAAGTCAGATGTGAAAGGTAATCGTTTCTATGTTGAACTTATTCGTCAATAAATCGGAAGCTAAGAAATGAGAAGCTGGATTGTTACAGTAATCATTCGGTTAATTCAACAGATGATTTTCCAAAAAAAAGTTACGCCTTGATGTGACTTGCCTTAAATGTAGCAAAAACAAACCACATAAATCGTTAGCGGGGTAACCCATTCGCCTAGCATGCGCTTCCATTCAGCAGTGTCCTGTATTGGTACCGACAACTATTCTAACAATGGGACGATCGGTTTGTAAAAGAGTTTTGGATCTTTTCTCATTAACATTTGGCCACATTAGTTGAATAACAGAGCAAGTTGGCCCTTTCGCCCATCGTTCGTTGGCAGAGAACCGCCTGCATCATACGCAGAGTTTACCTTGCAATCTCGTCTGCCGCGCAGTTCCCGGCATTTCAGTGTGCCCGGGTATCCATACCACGTTAATGGTAACTTACGCGGCGAGCTCGTTTAAGGTACTTCTCCTTTCGGCAGCTACTTTTTAGCAAGTGTTACTGCACTGTGGAGGTTTGACCGTTGCTTGGCTATCAGAATAATTAGTCATGGATTTTAGAGAAGTTAATTCGACCTGAAACACTGTGCAGTGGTCAGGCAGACACCTACCTAGAGGTATTTAGAGTAAAGTCGGCCCATTTTATCGGATTAAGATTTTTTATAAGCCAGAGGTGCTACGATTGATATGCAGGTTGCCAACACGAAGAGTTTAATTTAATAACTTAAGTTTTGAGAAATCAAAGGTCAAGAATGCAGAATGGTAGCTGAAACACGGCGTAAAACAAGAAAACATAATGGCTGCATTTCTTTATTCATTCTGAACGTTTGGAATAAACTTGTTTGTTTACTTATTCTTTAGAACGTTCCTGACGATATGTTAACGTTAAACGCATTCTGTTTATTCTGCCTGTGAAATGGGATTATCTGGAATGTATAAAGAAACGCA